CAACTTGGCATGTATGGCATAGCTTTCAAAGTCGTTCAATCTTGGCATGTTTATTTTTCAATTGAATAATACTTCTGTATAGTTTATTTTTAGGTGAGCTAATAATTGTAATCATAAGTACTGTAGTACTTAGAGTAGGAATGGGTCAGATGTGCAATATGTGCAATACAAATTAAAATCTCAAGCACGCTGCAAACAGTGTGTAAACAAAACTTTGTAAGCATTTTACACACACTGTGGAGTAGTAAAAACCAACTGTAGAGTAACAAGCTACCAAAACTCTTGAGAAAGTCTGTATAGGAAAAACAAAAAATTCACAAAAACACAAATTTGTCAATCTGTGCTCACTGACTGACTAGCGTTGTTGGAAAGGCATAGCTCTCTACTGCCTTCAGCTTATGCAAATCTAAATGCACATGATTGAATTACACTACCTTGGCTAAAAGCGTTTTTCTCAGTTTTAGTTAGAACCTTGATAATAACAATAATCATTTTGGAACATTAATAACGAGCTAACAATACACTTAGTGGCCATATTCTATAATTACGAGCACGCTCTGTGAGTTGCCAAGTAACAACCCGCCCTCATGTCACGTGTGGGTACACGATTGCTTATGCGCATGCGGTATGTGATCAGCTTTAGCTGTATTAGATAGATAATAAAAACGTGGAATACCTCAATTCTCTGGATTTAGGTTCTAACTATGACCTAACCTCTGAAAGCGAAGTTTTAAGTTCTATACCTCAGACTCGAGGGTTCTGTGTTGGACAAAGCAATTCTATGATAGCAGTCGGTGCCTATGATGCGAGTATCCTACGTGAAGACGAACGCTATCACTCCCGAAGTCTGACATGGCTTTGCTCGAGAGTTCTGGGCTTAAAATAAGAATGAAGTTGTATGATTTACCTTTGCATTGTTTTCAAACTAAGTGTGATCTACTGACATCTAAGATTCTACATGAAAAGGTGCGATTTTTAAAATATGCCTATCAAGAAAATAGAATGAGAGAAAAGGAGAAAACCTTATGCTGATAACCTTGAAAAGTATTTGTTCCAGCGAAGAGAGCATTACTGTAAGAATAGAAATAAGGTTAGAAACAGTAATGCAGGATATGCGAAACAAGTCTTAGCCATTAATTCAGCCAAATAAAAAGCTGGAAGAAAAACTATAGCAAAGTCATCAGCAAAAGCCATGAAATATTGAGAGATAGATCTAAGAAAAGCTGCAAAAAGGATAGGCCTAAAGCCCAGTCACTCTCTCGACTTAGCACTAAGAAGAGCTACGAGAAGGATAGGCCTAGAGCACAGTCACTCTAGAGACCTAGTACCAAAAAAAGCTGAGACAAGTGTAAGAAATTTTAAAATAAATAAGTTAGGAAGTGGGAATGTGAGCACCAAAAGTAAGGAAACAAGGTAGAATGGGAGGGGGTAAAATTACATCACTTGGTGGTTTTTGACACAGTTACCTCAAACTGGGTATGGCCAATGTTCCGCCCATTTTTATTTCGTTATTTACTTTGAGCTTTTGAAACAATTATAAACTTGAAATGAGTTTTATCAGTAGCTAATCCTTTCTTAATACTAACAGATTTAAAAATTCCAAAAGTCAGCGGTTTTGATACAATTCTTTTGGCCCACCCATTACCAGTCAAATAGCTGTAATGTCTCCCATAAGCAAAATATGACTGTTGGAGCTTCCTGTCTGACTTCTGACATCAAACACTCTTCTTTATGATGTTATGCATTTTGTTATGGTCACGTAATTTGATTACATACATGTATCTGTACTTAGTTGCTAAAACAAAGTTTACAACAGAGAAATTTAGTTATATACACCTTTCATTTAGTTTGAACAATTACCAAGTTACAAAAAAGCACACAAATAAGAATGGGCTAAACGATGGCTATAACACTTTTAGGTTGCACCGTGTCAAAAGGCACCAAGTGTTGTAATGTTAACCCGCCCATGCCTGCCTTGTTTCCTTACTTTTCCTAATTTATTTATTTTTTTACACTTCTTAAGAGTAAATATAAACTAAATTACCCTTCAAAAAATTAAGTATGAAAATGAAAAGTAAACATACAGATATCCTCAAATATTTGTAATCAGTATTAGTTATCTTTTTTTTTCCTAAATTGCAACTAAACTATTAATCGGTCAATTTTCTAGTAAAAACGATTTGTGAAAAAAATGAAATACATGTTTGCTAAAAATATAAAATGTTAGTTTACAGATAATATTGTTGTATGCGTAGAAAGACCAAAAGGAATTGGCCATTTATTTTTAAGACGCTATAATTCTGATGCTTCCATGCCTAATCCATGGAAAAGCTTTAACCAGTGGTTACCATGGAAACCTATCCTGTTATGCTAACTTGTGTAGACAGTGGTGGTGAAAAGTAAAAGAAGCTTCGACATGGTATTGCATCTTCTAGTATATAAGGATTAAATAAATTGATCAATGTTTTATTTTTTATTTATTTTGTTTTTCTCGCTAGAGGGCTGCAGGTCTTCATAAACAAAGAAAATTTATGCCGAATAGTGCTGGCTTTGAAAACAGCCAAGTGAGCTGTGTTTTGAAATTTGCTTCTCAAGTTTATGAGTTCGAATCGCTACGAACAGTGCTGATTATCAACTAAATGAAGACTAACTTCTGATTGTTTTAAACAATTAAGTAGTTTCCCACTTCACATCGAGTGTACAGTTACTGAGGGTTGTAGATCTAGAGCAAATAACAGGTAGCAGAAAATACATTTAATAATGTGTATAAACAAAACCTTATTAGTTATGGATAATAATATGTGAAACAGAAGTGCACTATGCAACAATAGTATTAGCTCGTTGTAAGTTTGTAGTGATGTTTTAAGAACTTTCTATGATAGAATGCCATACTGGCAGGCTTGTGGTTTCAGAGCCTTCTTGTAGTTTATCCTAGAAAATTTATTATTGTAGTGATGTGTTAGTTTACTAATGTTATTTATAACTGAAGTACTATCAGTGTAACGACGTTTAAAACGTTATTAACCTATAAGCAAATAAATTTGAAAAGGCTGAAAAAAATTGGCCTTTTACAGGTGGATAAGGATATTCTGGAAACGTCTAGATTTTATTATTGTTTTCTAGTATAATATACTATATACACCTGAAGTTCAAGAACGTTTTGTTTCTTACAGTGAAACCACACTTGGAGTATGTGATTTTGTTTTAGAGTAACATAATCAACATCTAAATTATCGCTAAATTAATTTTAAAAAGTTTTGGTTGACATCAAACTGTTCCCGTTATTAGTTGAAATATCTTGCGTTTTGAACTCTTCTAACCTATTTATGGAATGTAATTGGTACTGCAGACGATATTAAATGCGCGTTGTATCTGTTTTAATATCCACTTTCAGTCATTCGAGAAATAAGATATAAGCAAATAAATATCAAAAGAAGCTACCCCCGTGGCACAGTAGTAAGTCTCTAGCTTACAACGCCAAAATTCGAATTTCGATACCCGCGGTGAGCAGAGCATAGATAGCCCATTGTGTAGCTTTGTGCTTAATAAACAAACGAGAAAAACTAAATGATGCCCCTTGGTGGTTCAGCGGTAAGTCTGAAGGCTTCTGGTGCTAAAAATTGGGTTTTCATACTCTCCTCAACCGATAGGTCAATGCTAAGTCTCTGGACTTGCAACGCTAAAACCCCGGGGCTTGATTCTTGCGGTGGACAGATCGCATATGGCCCATTTTATACTTTTGCCATAAAAACAACAACAACTCAATCGATACTCGCGGTGGGCACAGCACAGACAGCACATTGTGTAGCTTTGTACTTAACAACAAACAAACAGAAGTTAAAATGATAAGAGTTGAATTACCTCTTAACCCGTTCTTTAAAACTGTGATTACTAAAATGGGTTCTTATAGACCCTAGGGTTTTGCATTAGGTGCCCAACATGATTCTAATAAGCACCCAATATTTTTGTAATTAGTTCACCTTGTTTTTATTATTACCGTGAATATGTTTTGAATACGCTTGGTGAGAATTAAGAATTAGGTTATTTTTTTATATATACATATATCACTTAAAACGACCAGTAGAGGGGTACATAAATCATGTTGAACAGTATTGGATATCTTTGTAATAAGATGGTTAATCTTTCTTCCTTCTGCTTGCCCTTTCCCAGAAATGAAACTCGGTACATTTGAAATCCAACAAATGGTAACCACAAGGAATTCTAGCTAATCAAATTGATCAAAACATGAACAGTTGTGTGTAGCTGAAAACACGATATTTCACTGTAATTAATCTTTCATTACAAAAGTATTTCCAATAATTTGTTTGTTACTTCACTTTTTTTTTTCTGTTTGCAGGAAAACTAAGTCACCAGTAGGCTTAGTAGGCGGGAGGTTATCTCTGCTGATTTGCAAGTACCGTAACAGCTCATTCACCAGTTGTTTAGTCCTATTTAAACAGCATTGATTACGTTACGAGGTTCTCGTTGTTAAGCTTTGTATTTTTGTTATTCACAGCTCCAATTCAGTAAGCGTGATTGTTAAGCTTGATATTTATTATGTTTTACGGTATATATTTTTTACACATTGTAAGCCTAATATGTCATTTTATAACGTTTTGCAGTATGAAGTTAGTAATGTGATTCTTACTCTTGGCAAGCTTAAGATAAGTTCTATTATGTTTTACAGTATTAAGTCAGTAATATGATGATTACTCTTAGCAGTCCCAATGTGAATTTCCATAATGTTTCACAGTTCGAAATCAGTGACGTAGTTCATACTCGTGATAGGCCTAACATGTGAGATTCCATTATGTTTTACAGAGTGAAGTCAGTAATATGAATTGTTCCCAGTAATCCCAACACCCGTTTCCTTTATGTTTTACAGTATGAAATCAGTTAATATGGTTCTTTTACTTGGTAGGCCTTACATGGCAGGTTTCATCATGTTTTACAGTGGTCAGTTTAAAGTTTTAATTTTTAGTATTTTATTTATTTTTCAGGCCGCCCATAGAACTGTGGATGTTGACCTCAGCAAGTACGTAGCACTTGAACAAACCAATCAGGCTCTTCGTCATCGCTTGGAAGAGTTGGACCAGCTTGTAAAGCAGAAGCAAAATGTTGTAAGTACAACACAATATTTAACCAGACTGGTTAGCCTAGAATTTGGTCACTAAAATATCCTTATGGATGTATGGCGCCCGTATAAGATGTCAGCTGACACTGCTTAAAATATGTAGATATTTGCGCAGAAAAATAAATATTTTAGTTTCCACTTAAAAAAAGAAGCTATATCCTATTCTCATATAACTTTAAATAGTTATGGTAAAGTTGTGGCGGTTGGATACCAATAATTTTCGTGGTTAGTAGACTATAATATAACCTAAACCTAATTATAATTAGTTACTATATCTCTGTAAAGCAGAATTGTCCGTCTGCTTGGTGCAATTTGGTAGAGAAACTCAGGTGGACCCCCATACCTCGAGTTTGAATTTGGCAGTCATTTGAATTTGTTACTACGTGAAGCCGACACCAAACCAAATTGACGTGTAATATGTCACTCGCTGATCACCCTTATTCAGGAGATCTGAATGTGGTGGAAGAAGACTGGATTTGAACATAGGTCTTCTTGTTGAAAAGGTAATAGTTATCCGGGCTCTCACCCCAGTAGAACTTGAACCAACTAAATTAACTGAATGTTTTCAAGAGAAGTAGCCATGTTTTGCAGACTTCAATGCTAGGTGTGCTGTGTGGCCATCAGTTAGATACAAGTGAAAGACTTCTTTTGTAACTTTTTTGTTGTATATGGTTCATATCCCATTATTTTTGTATTCTTTCATTGTATTATTGTCTTCTCGGGCATGCTGGGTTATTGGATATAGACCGATATTACAGTTTCATATATCTATTATGCTTTTCATCTCTAGCATTACTTAGACTTTTTTTTTTCTCTGAGGGTCGCGGATTCGAATTCCCGTTACCGAACACACTATTCGTTTATACAAATAGTAGCCCAAGAGTTGGTGGTAGGTGGTGTTGACTATCTGCCTCCCCTCTAATCTATCACTGCTAGCGCAGATGGCCCTCATGAGCTTTGCGCGAAATTCAAAACAAACTAATGGAGTCTACATTATCGGACAGATTCCTGAATAACTCGATTCAATATTATGAGAAAAATTTTAATAGGTATGAACTGATGAGCAAACTAGAGAGTTACATAATACGTGATGAGCCAAGCCCTAAGTACCTCTCCCCTCTAAACATCATAAATAAGAAACTTACAGGCCAAACAGTGCTAGGCTAACTGAATCCTAGACACAAACGTAGCTCTATATTAAAAGGGTTTTGTATGTAGAAATAGGATTATGTGTGAGTGTGCGTGTGTATGACTGCTAATTGGAACTGTATTGTGAACACGGACTAATAATGCGATCATGCATAAGTGAAGCTATTGAAAATATACAAGTTAACATTACCTCAGGAATTGGATATGGCACGAAAAGGGTATGTTAATTAGAACTGCGGACAATAGACAGAATTTAACATACTATGAGTAATAGGGGTAATACCTAGAATTCAGTAACAGCGCAAACAAAGTGAGATGTAGGAAGAGGTCAACGCTGAAACTGACCCTCCCTGATCCAAAACATGGATCTAATCCCAATGAAGAAGAAATGAGTCTGCATTCATAAGCAATGTTGTATATAATGTTTTCTCTATCACTTGGGTCTGTAGGTAGTTTAGTGTAGAGAACTGATATCGTATTCTGTTGTGGCTTTGAATATTGTCTCAAGTTTATGTTCACACATTTTCCAGGTGTTTTCAGGGAGACTTTTGACCTAGGGGAAATATAACTGCATTTTATTGGCGCTGTATTTTTTTTTTCATCAAGTGTTGAGGATTATCAAGTAAGATTGTAGTGATGCATTCTTCCCCATTTGGTTTGATAACTTCATTATATTGTTAGTTCTGGCGACAAGGTAGTCTATGGCATTTGTCTCAACACTGTTGGGATCGCTTGGTTTGTAGTCGCCTGTTTCCTGTAGACTCCTGTGGTATATATTATTAAGGGAAAAAAAGGCGTGATTCAACAAATTCCTTGTTGGCGACAAGATGAGAATTCACACCCTTAAATTCAAAACAAATAAAAATTCATACCCCTGCAATTTACGTAAAGGTGTGAACTTATGAATAGAATGGAAAATCACGTTAATGGCATGCGAACATGTACAAAACACCTGTTAACAGAATCACTTTTGATGATGGTTGGGTAAAATACCCCTGAAACATGTAGTTTCCCAACGAACCTGGTGCCGTTTTAATATATTATTGTGCACTTATAATGTTATATGGTGTTTTAACTTAATGTATGCACAAACAACGTTTTTTATTATATTGAGAATAGCCTACATCAAGATAATTTTTATGATTACAATAAAATCGCGTAAACATATTTTTGGAACATATTAACTGTTCAAAATGTATACATTTACAATTTAGCTAACTTCTTGGAACTCTAGCTTCTTAAAACGATCACCATTTAACGCTTCTTAATTCTATTGTGGATGTGAAATAACTTTTTCTAACGAAGGACGTGGAAGTATCTCGCACTCATAAAATGTGAAATTACGTCATTCTCTTAGCTTGTATGAGTTATGCGTCTTAGTGACTATCACGTCTGTGAAAAAGAGCTTATCTTCTCTTGTTTCCATTGTAAACTGTATCGCCTGGTGTTGTCTGTTCAGGTGGTTCATGAATTCTTGAATATTGTCTGAAGTGCGTGGCCATATTATAAATATGTCATCAACATACCTAAGCTATATCCAGAGTCTTGGAGCAGCTGTTTTGAGAACGCTACACTTGTACAGGTTACCTTAACATTACGGATCATGTAGACAAAGAATTCTCTACCAGAGATATTAAACGTTTATATAAACAAATTATCAATAAAAAATGTCTAATTACAATCAACGAATGAAATATAATAACTGTGGTATTTCTCAAAATTTGGTGTACTGTAATAATTCCAGGACTTTATTGCTCTCCAAGCAGTCACATAGACATACTTACTCACAAAAAATATTAAGAATGCCAATAACTGTTTGGTATAATCAGGTGAACTGGTTTTCTCGCAAGTATTAGATAGGCCCATTTAATAACTGAAGGACCGGACAGGAAATGTACACAGTGATCTGAATTTGAAAACTCGACTGAGTCTTAAGCTGTGTGAGAAATAAACAAACTAGACTAGTTTGGTGAAATGTCTAAATAGTCTTTATTAAGGATACAACAAAAACATCGTGAGTACTTGTATAGACAAAAGGACGATCTCTTCTACTAGATCAATGACTCGGTGGGCAGCTTTCTTTCTCTCAAGGCAGATCTTTGTCTAGCTGAGCATTTAGTAGATATCTGAAAGTGTAGATGTTACGATCTGGCAAGAAACCTCGTTATTTTTTCTCTTTGCGACAGCGTCCCCACGTGGCTGGTTATTCTTCCATGTTATTCATTGTCTGTGAATTACAGACATCATCCATTCAACTAGCAAAGGACGTTGCAGTCGTTAACCATTGACTCGGATGTGTGACGCTACTGCAACATTTCCTAGAGCAAAGTACATATATTATCTGGTGTAGAGAACAAAGACAGAAATGTAGTAGAACGAAACAATTTCAGCGGTTTACTGGGCCACATGTTTATGCCAAAACTGCATAGAAACAGAATAAATGAGAAAATTTTGAAAATTTCTATATTAATAAAGATGATGAGAAAACACGTGATATGCCCACATATCAAAACTACATCATTATTAGTGACCTAAGCCATAAAAACACACACTTTTGGTGAATTACAAATAACACAAATGGAAATCACTTTGTAGATTTCCCCTACTAAATGACAATACTCTCTCTCTCTCTCTCTCTCTCACACACACACACACACACACACACACACACACACAC